CAGACACACACACTCGTCTGAGCTGTCCAAGTCTTCAAACGGCTTTTAAAAACTGCGTTATTTTCTGTAGCACAGTTATTTTCTTTCCCAGCTAGTACCTTGGCAAAAATTTAAGGATACCATATTTACTCGCATAATTCTCACTCTTTTTCTTCAAGGAAAGTTGACAAAAAGTTGGGAAGTGTGAGAATTATGGAAAGAAAATTTTCCGCAAAAACCTTCGATGCAAAAACAACAACAAAAAAAACCGACATGACCACAAATCGGGATGCTCACGCTGGCAACTAACTGAAAGCTTTGAGGAGTACTAATCAAGACTTACCTTAACAATAAAACTACAGGTTCACACAAGGCAAGACTTACTTGAAGCACAAAAGTTGCTAGCAAACAGAGTTTTGAAATACCGTAACACAAAGCTTGCGGGCATAGCGGTAGCGTTCGTTACTTAACGGGAGCCTGCAAAAGGTTAGCGTACGACGTCAACTTGGGCTGATGACCATCTAACATGGAACCATCCGCAGTTACCTTCCGTCTAAATAAGCTTTTACCATCCATCTCAGTATTAGCACACGGAAGGCCCAACGCATCTTAGTGGCTTTCAACTGCCCGTGCTGCATCGCCAGTAGCGAACACAGAACTTGTCCACTCCAAGTGGCTACCGGCGGCCCTGTTTCCATTGTTTAGTGCATCATCAATCACTTTCAACTTGAAAGCAGCTGTGAAGCTTCTGTATTGCCCAAAAGCATAACCGCAGCACGAACACAACGTACTAACATGCCGCAATGAACACTTGGCACTTTGGCTTAGCTTGGATTATATTGGGGCTCCGTGCGTTGAATGTATTGTGCGACGCTTCCTTGCTTGCATGTCATGTGGTGATGACCTCGGAAACTTATCCCTTCTCCACGCGATGCACTACTTGAGCACTTCTTGGGACAGTTTGACGAGTGAAAAGGTTAGCAGATGTTTCCGGAAGTGCGGTTTTCGGCGGCAGCTTGCTCGGAAAATACAGACTGCAGGGAAGACGATCCTGTGGCTTGCACATCTGACATCCACGATGACATCAATGAGGAATTCTTCTCCACTAGCGCCGATGCACCATTCGCCCCGTTCGTCTCGATAGACGACAAAGTCCCAACTTGCGAGCTGCGAAGTGTTGCCGAGATTGTCACAAGGGCAATGTGGGGCGACGCAGCAAAGGAGGTGGGGGACAAGGCACTGGAAGACAGCGGCAAAAAAGAAAGCGTGCGCTGAACGGCTAACTTCACCCTTGCTAGACTGGAAGCTTTCCAAAGCTTCTTTTGCACGAAAAACAATGAAAAAGCGGACAAGGGTCTACAATGTGTGCAGAGGGTGAGAGGCAGCCGCAGAAAATTAGTTTTCTTTTTTGGGGGCAAAAATTAATGCTTTTTGCCCTAAACACCTCTATTTGGACTTGCCAGCCTCAATTTTTGCTGGATTCAGATCGTACGTTTTCCCGGATCGTACGTTTATCTTCTTCTTAATTTTTTTTTTTTGGAAATGCATCAACGAGGTTCTACTGTAAACGAAAAACAGTCTTGCAATTGATGTAATGTTAGAAATATACTTTATAGCGACTTTTTGGATATAACGAACTTATTTTCGTATAAGATGCAACTTTGTTATAATGAGGTTTGAGTGTATCACATTTCTCTTATTTTTGTGAATTGTTGACACATTTCTTGGAACGCCAATACATTTTCTTGCATTAGCCCTGTGGATGGGAAATCGAACATGTGACCTCGCACTTATGGACACAGTGCATGCGAGTGCTTAATAGTTTTTCATGTGCAGCAACGTCAGTAATCCTTATTATTTTTTAAAATTTATTACAACTGGGTAGACAGTATGAGTGATTGATGTAGAAAGGTTGTAATTAAGCGTGTCTTCTCAATTCTTAGGCCAGCCATGGCGATGAGCAGAGCCAGGAGTCAGTTGCCAAGCAGATGCCGAAGAAGGTCAAAAAGCGAAGGAGAATCGTCAACGAAGATGGGGTAAGTGATTTGCATCCGCTGAATGATGGTAACCCTGCATTCTATATTCACGGCTAGCCACTTTAGAAGAAGCTTCATGCCTAAACAGCTCCTGTCCAAACGTGCGAGAACAGTGGCAGTTTTTTTGAGCATTTCCTTAGTACTTGGTGAGTTTATTTGCGAAGAGATGAGCTTCAGCGAGGTATATGTGTAATATAGCAACAATAGCGTTCCTGGAGAAATTGCTGCAATCTAAAATTATTGTGTGCCTTGTTATCATTGCTGTTACAAGATTGTTGCCAATTGCCAATTGTACATTATGTCTAGAGGTTGATTGTTGTTGCGTGTGTATTGCATTACTCGCAAATGTAGGTGATTGGGGCGTGCTATGAAGGAAAGAAATTCAGTCTGTACTTTCGCCCGTCTCCTGTTTCCTCGGTGTCTTGTCTTAGAAATTTTTATGCGACCCGAGTGGCGGCTTAGCATGACTCAGTTCCCGGTCGTGATTTCGCGATAAGGGTAATGCAAAAAAAAAAAAAGTAAAGAGAAAGAGAGATGCCCTCGTTATTAGTTCGAAACCCGCGTTGCAGAGCCCCAGGGGGCTAAAATTCATCTGAAGTCGAGTTCACTACTGCCTGCTTCTTCGTTGTGCAGTGGCTCAGCCTATAAGGCCCCAGAACATGATTAATTTTACAAAGTTCTGTAATGTTCCAGAGAGGCAGGTATGTATGTCTCTCGGTTGGGCACATTAAACGCGTTGAAGCAAGTACTTTGACGAGGTAAAAGTCGAATGAACATGTCAGGTACAACTTGAGGCATATTCTCACATTGTTCACTGTAATGGTTAATTCAAATATATGGCATATCATTCTGTTCGCGTACACAGTAGAATCTCGGTGACACCAAATGTCGTTCCTTGCGGTTTTGACTTGTGTGCATCAATAGAGCTAACGGTGAGCTTTTTTTCTTTCTCCTCGTGACTACCCAGCCTCCAAAGCAAAAGATCTCCGATCCCGAAGAGTTAGCGGAATACCAACTGAGGAAACGAAAGGTGAGGCCTTTTATCAAATTAATCTTTCAACTCCCTTTCTGGTGATTTGCGTTTTAATCGACGCCCGTGCGCTCTCCGTGGTTGCTCCTAGGGCTTCGAGGACAACATCCGCAAAAACCGATCTGTCATCAGCAACTGGATCAAGTATGCACAGTGGGAGGAGAGTCAAAAGAGATACAGAGGTAAGCGAACGGAACTCGCCTCCACGGACGGGTTCATCAAGGTTGAAGCCTGATTGATTGATTGATATGTGGGGTTTAACGTCCCAAAACCACTATATGATTATGAGAGACGCCGTAGTGGAGGGCTCCGGAAATTTAGACCACCTGGGGTTCTTTAAACGTGCACCCAAATCTGAGCACACGGGCCTACAACATTTCCGCCTCCATCGGAAATGCAGCCGCCACAGCGGGATTCGAACCCGCGCCCTGCGGGGTCAGCAGCCGAGTACCTTAGCCACTAGACCACGCGGCGGGGCAAGGTTAAACCTGTGCTAGCTAACACAGTTTGCATGTAGATTGAAGCAGTTCAAACAACGGAGATGAAGACTCGACAGACATAAGCGCTTACCCGCAACCGGAATGTTTATTGAATAAAACATAGAAAGAAAGTGAACTCAAGCCATCAACGCGGTGGCTGTCAACTTGTTGTCTCGCCGACATGCGAAAGAAGAGAGAATTAGGAAAAGGAGAAAAATCATTGAGTACACAAGCATAGACACCTTGTGACAGTGCAGGAAAGCGCATAACAATGAAATCTAATCAGCAGACATGTTCTTTACGGTGCTTTAATCTAAAATGGAACACGTTGATCTTTTCGTCAATGTCACCCAGCAAAGTTCAGTAAACAACACAAAGTGTAATTGACCACTGTTGTGGTTTATCGTTAACTTGTACTTCTTGCCTGATTGATTAGCCTTTAGAGTTTGATGAGTTTATGCAACCCGATGTGCTAGCTTTGACTGAGTAGGCTGTTGTGATACCACTGAGCAGCTGTCATATGAAATTAAAGTATTGATTGGGTTGTAACAGATTACTGTAGTCAATACTACACTCTATGTTGCTACCACAGTGCTCCTTCTTTCAGCTTTTAGTCAAGTTTTCATGTGTCATGAATGAGCCATCACGGTCGCCACTGCAAAGTGCATTTAATCTATCAAAAGTTATTTTTCAGCCTGTCATACAATGTATGTAGATAGACATTTAAATTCTAACATTATGGGTACTGATTGCGTTACTGAAATTCTGTGCATCATTAATGTCTTTATTATTTTTTTTTGCCCTTTTTTTTTTCCCAGGGCTCTGTTCCGTCTACGAGCGTGCATTGGATGTCGACCATCGTATGTTACCCTCTGGCTGAAAGTATGCAGAGATGGAATGAAGTGAGTGAAATGAACGTTGCATTTGTATATGTTTCCCTTGTACAATTAGGACAGTCTTCTATTAAGCTGCTTTACTGTGCATTTCAGAATTTGCAAGCATGTGGTAGTGACTGGAAAGGCCATTGGTACTTGGTTTTATCATTTCATCACCACTGGGCACTATAAAATGTCTCTTTAATATTTAGTATTTCTACAGAAAAGGAGACAAAAAGATGTGGATTTAGGGAGTAGTCTTGGGATCAGCAATAATGACAGACTTTAATTAAGTCGTCGCCTACATTATCTGTACATTGGCTATGGTAAGGCCACGCCTTAACATTTTATACATAATTTTTCGCACAATACGAGGAGTTGATAGTTGTCAAGACACGAGGAGGTGGTAGGCCTCCTAATATGGTCCTGCGGTATTTACAGTGTGACCGTGCTCGGCGAAGCAAATAGAAAATTATCTCACTACTCTCATTCACCTGGAAGTGTAAATCAGTTACGCTTTCCGATGCAGCTTGGTGATTAGTTCAATCGACTGATCAGATCACTACAATCACGCCGCTCAGAAGAATACCCCGCCATGCAGGAACCGCCAGGTGAACCACGCTCGCAACATTTGGGACCGCTCCGTGTCGATCCTGCCGCGAGTGAAGCAGCTGTGGTACAAGTACACCTACATGGAGGAGATGCTGGGAAACATTGCTGGTGCACGCCAGGTGTTCGAGCGCTGGATGGAATGGGAGCCCCATGAGCAAGCCTGGCAGACTTACATCAACTTCGAGCTGCGTTACAAGGAACTCGACAGGGCCCGGCAGATCTACGAACGATATATCCTTTTATTCAAGAAGGATATGTTGGTGGGCTAGTTGATACATGTCCTGATAGAGACTAAGCATGTGCACTTTATGTCTGAGCCTATGTAAGTCATTTACTTGCCTTCCCTTATCTTTGTTTCTTTGCATGCATCATACTTAGCGTATAACCTTTTGACACCTGTTAACTCTCCATACAGTGTGTACTATTGAGACAGGCTGGCTTGCGACTCTTTTTAACAAGAATAGATTGCAGGTGAAACGGAAGAGGGGAAACAGAATAAAGAAAAAAATGACCGCAAATGATACCTGGACATTTTCTGACCCTATAAGCATTGTCCTTTTGTTTCCCAACTGGATGAGTGCTGCCCTGTTTGCTTTTATTTTTTTCAAGATTTACAACTGACCTGTAGTTCTCTGTTGATTATTAATATTTTGGTTGCCCATAGAATTCTGTTTTCTTTGATGGGCACTTTCTGGATGCAATTGGCACCAGTATAGTCTGCTTTATGTGTTACACCTTGAGGCCTAATTTTTCCTCCCTGTCAACCACCAGCAATTTACTTTTGGTAGTTAAAGTTGGCGTAAGCACTGCACCCTAGCCTCTACTGGGCTATTTTCACAGGGAAAGTGAATAAAGCAAATTTATCATTCTATGTATGGTTTGATAACTGTTGACCAATAGGCATAGCAAGTTTTTGAATCCATGTTTCTCCCATGGTAAAAGCAGGTACACTGTATGGACAGTGTAGAGACACTGTATTTACATGTAAAATAAAGTATTGTGCAGTACGTCTAAATGAATGAAACATAGAAATGATGTTCGGCAACTATATTCTTTGTATAGCATATTCAAGAACTTTTCAATTCAGCCAATGTCCTGGAGATAGGCATTTTAAGTAGGTAGTTTAGAGCTCAATGCCAGCTTGAAGAAAGAAGAGAGTGATCTTTATGAGCATTTCTGTTTTCGTGGTATCTGGATAATAGCATTGATTTGACGTCAATCAAATGCTATGTTATCTTTACAAGGCGGGCATTCCTAAGTATATGCTGGTATGTTTCTATAGTAGCATAGTTTTCATGGTATGGATGGTGTCTGTAGTATGGCTTTCCTTGGCAGCATGCAACAATGTGCAAGACATGGGATCCTTAACGTGTCGTGCACTTGTGATGGTTCATCCCGATGTTCAACATTGGATCAAGTACGCCAAGTTCGAAGAGCACAACGGCTACATCTCCAACGCGCGACGCATCTACGAGCGGGCTGTGGAGTTTTTCGGCGAGGACTACATGGACGAACGGCTGTTTGTCGCTTTTGCCAAGTTCGAGGAGAACCAGCGGGAGGTAAAAATGGAAAAACGACGTCTCTCTTGGTATGTTGCAAGTGCTGCGATGGTGTGTGTGATAGAAAGACGTGTAATGAAGGTGCAGCCTTGCTTCATCAAGCCCGACTTAGCAACACATCGACAAGGTTCATCCTAAGTTGAGGTTGATGCAGCCAGCCATGGAGAGGGGAATGATAGTGAGGGATAGGGAGAAGAAGACAGCACAGTTAGTCGAGGAACAAATGGGTGTCAAAAGACATCTTACTCGAAAGCAAAAAGAAGGAATGGGCATGGGCCGAGCATCTGTTGAGAAGGCATGATAACTGCTGGTCATTAAGAGTTACAGACTGAGTTCCAAGAGAAGTCAAGCATGCCACGGTGAGGCAAAAAACTAGGTGGGCAGTTGAGATTAAGAGCTTGCGGGGATAGCATGGCCCCACAAAGTGGAGGACTGTGTTGATTTTAGAAACACGGGAGAGCCATTTGTTCGCTTGGGGGCATACATTTAGGAAGCAGTATGTGTGTGTGTTTTCCAAATGCTGCTAGTAACTGCATCCCTGAGATGCTGATGTTTGGCCCTATTTAGTGCTTTCCGAACCGCCACTGCAGCGGACTGGATGAACACCAGTCAACGCCAGTTAAATTCACCGCTGGTCGGCAACACGCTGGGCATGCCATCTGCAAAAACATAGTCTGGCATTGCTGCATAGCTGTGGTTGCTAATCAGGCACGACGTACCTACAAGCGGCACTGCTACCCAAAGGCAGCATACACATTGACTCTAAGGCTTACGATAACAACAGCAGCCTAGACTGATATCATGCCATTGTTTGCTTATGAGTGTTTTGGAAGCGTAGCAGCTGCATTTACAACATCTTTTTTTCACCACGGTGTAAGTAAAGCCACTTCACTTATGTCGCATGCATCGCCCGGCGCCACCCAACAGCATGACCGTGTGCGGGTGATCTACAAGTATGCATTGGAACACATCCCCAAGGAGAAAGCGCAGGACCTGTTCAAGAACTACACCATCCACGAGAAGAAGTACGGTGATCGCGCTGGCATTGAAGATGTCATCGTTAGCAAGCGCAAGTACCAGTATGAAGAGGTACGTGAGTCTTTCAAAGAGCACATTGGTGATGTTTCGTATTGGTTTGAAACTCTGCTAGGCTGAAAGCAGCTGCAGTCACTGAGTTTCACTTTCATTTGAAGTTAGTATCACTAATGAATACAGGTTTAACCGAGGCAATAAAGCTTTCAATAACCTCTAATGCTTCTGCCAATAATCCTGTCCCCTTCAAATTGTTGTGCAAGTTTACTTTTATAGTCACCAAAGCATACTTCATGCTCTGAGGAACAGCTTCAAAGTGTGTGCAGTTTCAGTTTCCAAATAATGAATTTGGAAGAGAATAAGTGTCTTCATTTCAGAAGTGCCAAGAAGCTGAACAATCTCAGAAATAAATTGCTCCATGTGCAGGACTAGCATGTCTTCGTCCGCATGTGTTTCGAGCCTTGTTATGCTGTCACTGGAAGGTCAATTTTTTTTTCCAGTGAATGGGCTGCTCAATTCACTGCACCAGCTGCAGCTTTCCCACTCTAGGCGGGGAATGTTCGGGTGCTATTGGCTTCATTAATGGTTAGGCATTCTCTTTAATAATTGTGTGTGCCCTGTGTGTCTTTCAATTTTGCCTGTACACACATCAATTGTGTAATGGGAAACCAGTAGATGTTCTACACGAGCTTGATGCTTGTTGTCATTAGTTACTTAATGCGTAGTAGTTAACATTTATTTTGTTTCAACAGGGCTAGACATATTTTTCTTGCGATTGCTAAAGCCCTGTTATACATTGCGCAATGTTTGATGCAGCAAGTGAAGGAGAATCCGCTCAACTACGATGCCTGGTTCGACTACCTCCGGCTCATGGAGAGTGAGGGCAATGTGGACTCAACGCGCGAGACTTACGAGCGGGCCATTGCCAACGTGCCACCTTCACGGCTCAAGCGCTTCTGGCGCCGCTACATCTACCTCTGGATCAACTACGCACTCTATGAGGAGCTCGAAGTGGGCGACGCCGAGCGCACGCGCGAGGTCTATCGGGCCTGCCTTCGCCTGCTGCCCCACAAGGCATTCACCTTTGCCAAGGTGTGGCTCCTGGCAGCTCACTTTGAGGTGCGCCAGAAGGACCTGCCTGCAGCCCGCAAGTTGCTGGTGAGTTCGCATCATCCACGTCACCAACATCAGCTTAGTAGAAAATATAGGCAGCCTGCACTAGCAGTGCAAGGCTGGACTAGCAGCAGAGCTTGTGGCCAATCTAGACTGTCAGAAAGGTCTTTATGAGCATGGTCCTAATTAACATGGTGCTAATTAGAATAGTCAAGATCAGTAATGTCCTGATAAACAATGCCTTAACAAGATCTGAATTAGTATAGTCTTAATTAACATGATTATAATTAGCAAAGTCCTCTGTTCCTGCCTGTTTTTTTCTCTTTCTCTCCTTTTTTTTTTTTTTAGTGCAACTCGCACTTGCGTAATGTTTCAAGTTGTATGACCATGCCTTTGAGAGCGGCATCAACTCTTTCGCAGCTGAAAGGAAATTAAAAAACTTGCTAAAACGATCAAAAAAACTTTTTTTTCACTTGCTTTGTAAACCTTCTTTTTCTTGATGGAACAGTGCCATTATCTCAATTAAGTAATATTTATTTATTTTTATAATTTTGTACAAAGATACTGCAAGTGCAGCACCAGAGGCAGCAATGCAATGAAAGACCAGATGAGTAGGAGATTGAAAAAACGTGGACAAGCAGGACCAGTTAGCATAGAAAAAAAACGACAGCATATACAGTCCTCACTAAAGGCAAGTATAGTCATAATCGGTGCTACTGCCAGAAAATCTCACGGTGATTATACCTGTCAACGGTTGCGATATGTCCAAGCACGGCCGGACTCGACTCCTTCTCCGGCGCTCCCCTTACGGCCTTCGCATTGGGGCGTTTTGCTGCCTGCCGCCGCAAGTTCGGGGTGGCGCTGCTAGACCACTGTTGCTCCCCCGCCTCCAAGCGCGTTCACGGGCGCAGTGTGCGCGCCACAGCGCTATGGCCATCATAACAGCGCTGAGTACGAGGAACAGAACCAACTGCGGCGCCTGAATTCTTGAAGATGAACGTTTTATCCACACAATACAGCTCGGTCGTTGCATGTGATGAGGTTAAAATGGTATAGTCGACCTCTGAGAGCACCGCTTACCCAGTTGTAACCATTCCGGCAGCTTTCCCGGATTTTCGCACACGCGTGTTGTCACAAGCAACAGTAATCCATTACAGCGCACAAAATTCAGAGAGAAAAAGCAATATTTATTTTGTCGTAAGGTGGACTAGAACTTCCCGTAGGTAGACGGCGATGACTCCGCTTTCCGTTTCGTCGGCTGTCGAGGAGCCGAGGTGGCCGAGGGGTCACGCGCTGCAGGTTCTTTACGCGGCCTCTTCGTAGCCGGGACCATATACGAAGGATACTGATCGAAGGCCGTGGGCACGGCTCCTGGACGCAGTTTCCGGATACGATATCCGGGAACATAGTCATTTTCCGTGAAGTGTTGCTGCACACTACAGTCGATGCGGACTTGTCATTGATGACGAGGTTTTCACGTGAAACATTTTTCCTCCACTTCGAACACAGTTCCTCATCGCTAGGAAATTGGTGGTACGACACACCCGGTGTCTTCCCTTGCTGTGACTTACACAGCGGCACGCAACAATAAACCATGGCTACGCTAGTGCAGTTAGCGTGCCTGAGCGTGTCTGATGCATTGTTTACCCGAGGTCATCGAACACAGTCAAGAAAAGTCGCAGTCGGTGACGCGGGGAGCCGGCGGAGCTTACAGTGAGGTGGTGCTACCCTCTACGCGTCAGAAAAAAATATATGCGCGGCGCCGGTATTGAGAAGGCCGTAAGGAGCGTCGAGTCCGGCCGTGGTCCAAGCAAGCAGCTCGCATCTACTATGTGAAGTGAGTGAGCGAAAACTTCTTTCGTAGCTTGCTCCTTCTGCTCGCGGCTTTTCCTACGTCGGTGGTATGTACTCCAATGCTGCCCGGACACTTTTGCGGTCGCGCTCAAGGTCGCCTCTCCGCTGATTCCAACAATGCTCACTAGATGGCGCGTCGCCCCCCTCCCAAGGTGTCGACTTTCGATGACCCGCGCACTCGCCTCCTCAAAGCGGATTTGATCGAACGGGAAGTGAAGAGGAAAGTGTGTCATGGTAACTGTCTCTGAGGAGGTTACCCCAACAACGTCACACGGGGGATGTGTACTGGGGGAGAGAAAGGAATGTGAAAGAGAGAGGAAGAGAGAAGGGTGTCAGTGGTGTTTGGTCTGGCCGTGCGGGAATGCATGCCTTTTTCGGTAATTACAAGAATTCTCACTAGATAACACGGCGTCACTCATGGTGGCACACCACTCTCAGCCCGTCTTCAAGCGCGAGTTCCTCGACCACATATTTGGCCACAGCTGCAAAGTATGCAATCATTTGTGGTTCGACAACACCATGACCACAATCGCTAGCGTCCGCAAAGAGCAATCATGCGCCAACGCCGTTGCAGTCCTTCAATGAGAGTTGCCGGTCGCTGCCACGTCATCGGCCCGACACCGGACTGCAGGGACGACAGAGTTTTCTCTGCGTGTAAAGACACTCTGGTGGCAGGAAAAGTTCGTAATATATATTGTGTATTCCACTGTAAATAATAAACATTTGGTATGTCATGTAGTTTTAACAACGTTGTCAATCTATATATGATGATAGATGTGTACAGAGGATTCGCCAATTACTCGATCATATCTGAGCAAGCTCATTGACTTTGTGGTTATAACTGTGATTTTTTTATTGATTAAAACTTTTCTGGGAATATGAGTAGGGTCCTCAGTCCAAGGTGCCTTTGAGGCACTTTGGGTTTGGTCGAGCAGAGCCAACCGGCTGTCCAAATTCTTTCTGGCAAGCCAGGTCTCCCACTGCCGTGTTAGAAAGGTTGTCCCCAAAACGGCAGAATTCATGTCTTGGGGACGATGCTCCCACTGTTTGCAGGGCACTGCCATAGGCCTCTGCCCTAAAGACAAGCTCTTTCGTGGCTACATCGACCTGGAGATTCAGCTGAGGGAGTTTGACCGCTGCCGCATTCTCTACCAGAAGTTTCTCGAGTTTGCGCCCGAGAACTGCACCACCTGGATGAAGGTAGGTCTAGTCAGTGTATCAACTCGCGCAAGAGCCACACAAATTTATTTACTGCTCAGCTGTGCCCTAAACTTTCGTTCAACATACCCTGAATTTACCAGGAAAGTGTGTTCTATTTAACGGAAAATCCGTTTGCCGAAAGATGAACAGGAGTGCAGAATTCAAGTATGAAACCAATCATGTCAGAGGCAGGTGTTTTGTCTAGCAGCAGTTCTGTTTAAGAGAATCTTGTCTACTGAGGGTCTGCTTTATAGTATCACCAGGAGAAACCACATTTTGTCAACTCTGTGTGTGCAAAAACCATTAGCGTGTGTATAGTATGCCAAAGACCAGAGCGAAAGAAGGAGATTGAAGGCCTTGTTTCCTAGCTTGACACAACCTTAGTGTATATGTGCCTCAAAAATTGGGCGAAAGAAGGGAGTATAAGGTCTCATTTCTTTGTTTGACGGAACCTTAGTGAAAGCCAACAGACAGTGAATGCAAGGCAAATATAGAGGACATTATTGTACTCTTTTAACTGTGATGCAGTAAATAAAAGGGGCCCTGCAACAATTTTCTATGGATCTATGGAATGTATGCACTGAAGGAATGTATCACCACACGAATGAAACTGCCACAATAATTTTTAGAATCCATCCTGTATGAGTGGAATTACAAAGGTTTGTCGCATGCTGCTGTTGCATTCTCTCTTCTCTAGTCACGATGAAAGCATTGAAAGCTAAGCAGGGAGGGGTGGTGAGGGGGAAGAAAAGACATCACGTGTGCCTCACTGCGGTGAGGCACACGTGATGTCGTGATGTCTTTGACACGTGATGTCTCTGATGTCAAGTTTCAGCCAATGGCTGACCTTGGCCTGGAATGTTGTGATATTTGAGCCTGTGGCGTCACTTGTCGACAGAACAAAAAGATATTTTTAGGTGACTTTGGGAATGTATTGTAAACTCCAGGCCGCATACTGGGCTATATTATTTGGGTCGCGTGCCCTTGGGAGCCTCAACTATCGATCCGCAGCATTTTCTGACCAAGTTCAAAAGTTTTTCAGGGCCTCTTTAAGATTTAAATGCAAGAAAGGACAGTGGATGAAGAAACAACTTGCCGCAGGCAGGATTCAATCTTTGAATCTGTGAGCCATGCACCCAAATGTTCGGTCATTCATTTCTAAAAGGCGACACACTCCACCGGCAATAAGATTGCGGACAAATGACATCTATGCTCGTCACTTTTGCTGCTAATTGAGTATTACCTCATTTACCAGCCACTAGTACGCCCAGCAATGCGTCGTGTCTTCACGAACTGTGTTTCACCGTTTTCAGTCACGTCTACGTGGCTATGCAAAGAGGTGGGTAATATGCAATAATATATGATGCATTGTTATCTTCACAAACTAGCGCCAAAACGAGGAGAAAGAAAGAAATACACAGAGAAGAGTGTTTTTGCACTGTTTTGCGAAGAAGTAGCCGTATGAACAAGCTTGAACCCATACACTTTTAATGCATTGTCGGCCCTCTTGAGTAGTTGTAGTAAATGCTTGTGCATTGTGTGTCGTTTATACCAACAAGCTCGAACCAATACACTTTTAATGCATTGTCAACCCTCTTGTGTCGTTGTAGTAAATGGTTGTGCATTGTGTGTGTCACTTACCCACCTTGTTTTGTTTTTAATTTGGGGTACTATTACATTGGCCAACAAAGAAAGGCATTATAACTGTCGAGAAAAATAAAATAAAGCAAGATGCCTAAGCACTACTAGCAAAAAGAAGCACTAGAAAAGGAGAGATGTTCTTTTCTTGTGTGTTTTCCTACGAATGGTGGTTAGGCGTCTAGATTTTTTCTTGAACTTATGCCCCAACTAGCCCAGCAACTAGTTCTGCTAAGTCGCGCTGAAGCTGTGGCTTGGTCCCGTGTGGCAGTACGCAGAGTTGGAGACGATCCTGGGCGACGTGGAACGGGCGCGGGCCATCTTTGAGATCGCCATCAGCCAGCCGCGCCTGGACATGCCCGAGGTGATTTGGAAGAGCTACGTCGACTTCGAGATCGAGCAGGAGCAGTATGGGCTGGCAGCGCGCCTCTACGAACGCCTGCTCGAGCGCACCCAGCACGTCAAGGTGGAACCCTAACCTTTTAAAAATCTGCTTTGCATGGAGCGAGTGCGTGCACATACATGACAGTGGCACAGTCATACCTCAATATTACAAACAAGACTTGTACAATTGTTTGAGTGCTTAAACAAGTATTACAGCATTTGGGTTCGCATGGTAATCAACATGGGCATAGAAAATTGCGTTACCTTCCTGATGCCGTGAGATTCATGCCATTTGTGTGTTGCTACATAGGCGAACCCAATGTCGTTCGCCATAATTCCATCTGCTTCTTGTACTGCCAACACCACAGCTTGCACAGTGCAGCCAGTATACTTGAAGCAGGATCTGCAAAAGTGCAAAGAGCATTCAGTCGCAAGAATGACAGAACAATATCGATCCACTGTAGATGCTACATTATTGATGCTAGATGCTACATTGGAACACCTTTATTGACAAAGCCATAATAGCTATCTGATTTATAGTGTTAGTGTACACATAGCCATGAATATTTTTTGGGGGGGAGTTGTTTCGAAGTCTCCATACCAAGTCGCTGACGTGTGCGTGCAACCTCAAAATACTAATGCTCCTGATTCTACAGTCACTGTGCTTTCATCCGAAACATGGCCTGTTCCATTCCACCCAGGTCTGGATTAGCTACGCCCACTTTCAGCTCAGCTATGGGGGCAAGGATCCCGTCCCATTGGCCAGGACAATCTTCGAACGGGCCAACAAGGAGCTCCGGAATGCTGCCGAGAAGGAAGAACGCCTCATGCTTCTTGAGTCTTGGTCAGAGTTCGAGGTCAATATTTCTTGCTTACTCTATTTTGTTTTAATTCTTATGCTCATTATTATTAGTCAAATGCTTGTTGCAAAGGTTAGGTGATGCAGTTTTTTCAATCTTTGAAACTTTTGATGCAAATTTTAAAATTTTTGAAAGCATTTCTTCTCTATTTCCCTATTTGTCACCTCAGCAGCCATTGGTACTTAACGATGCATAATAGTCTCATGACACCAGAGTACACGTACTTCTGGTGTCATCGAACGTATGTTGACATTCCGCAGCATGTGCCTATAAGTACTCAAGAGTGATTTTGAAGTGTTCGCTGTTTGTGCTCGAAAATATTCAATTGAGGTGGCTCTGTAAAAGATTACTGCATGAATCAAAGCATCATCGCGTGCTGTGTTCAAAAGCCGCCTGTTATCGTTCTTTCTGTTTGCCCATTTCCACTTCTCGCTTCGTTCGCAGAAATGTGAGAAATATCGCCTATTCATGCACAAATAAAAAAAAAGAACATATTCACACCTGCGTTTATGAAAAAGAACGACAATAGAAATGTTTTGTAGATTCCAGGTAGTGAGACAGGGGGTTTTTCGGGATGACAACTAAGCAGGCGTCTTGCTGTACAGCTGATCCTGAACACGCTTTTTTCGCTGCCGTAAGCTGCGGTCATCCTTTGTTTGCGTTGCACTGCGACAATATTCACTGAACAAGCGGCTACAAACGCGTCGCAGAATCGCACGTCTCCATTTCTGTTACACTGCGCAGCAGGCACATTGAAGCGGCGAAGGGATATGCCTCGAACCGGAACTACCATAGCAGACGACGCACCATTTTGCTATTCACCTATTGCCCCCCACACAGACACGCACACACTTGTCTGAGCTGTCAAAGTCTTCAAACGGCTTTTAAAACTGCGTTATTTTCTGTAGCACAGTTATTTTCTTTTCCAGCTAGTACCTTGGCAAAAATTTAAGGATACCATATTTACTCGCATATTCCTCGCACTTTTGTTCAAGGAAAGTTGACAAAAAGTTGGGAAGTGTAAGAATTATGGAAAGAAAATTTTCCGCAAAAACCTTCGATGCAGAAACAAAAAAAAAGCCGACATGGCCACAAATCGGGATGCTCACGCTGGCAACTAACTGAAAGCTTTGAGGAGTACTAATCAAGACTTACCTTAACAATAAAACCACAGGTTCACACAAGGCAAGACTTATTTGAGGCACAAAAGTTGCAAGCAAACAGAGTTTTGAAATACCGTAACACACAAAGCTTGCGGGCATAGCGGTAGCGTTCGTTACTTAACGGGAGCCTGCAAAAGGTTAGCGTACGACGTCAACTTTGGGCTGATGACCATCTAACATGGAACCATCCGCAGTTACCTTCCGTCTAAATAAGCTTTTACCATCCATCTCAGTATTAGCACACGGAAGGCCCAACGCATCTTAGTGGCTTTCAACTGCCCGTGCTGCCATCGCCAGTAGCGAACACAGAACTTGTCCACTCCAAAGTGGCTACCAGTGGCCCTGTTGCCATTGTTTAGTGCATCATCAATCACTTTCAACTTGAAAGCAGCCGTGAAGCTTCTGTATTGCCCAAAGGTGTAACCGCAGCACGGACACAACGTACTAACATGCCGCAACGCACACTTGGCACTTTGGCTTAGCTTGAGTTAGATTGGGGCTCCGTGCGTTGAATGTATTGTGCGATGCTTCCTTGCTCGCATATCATGTGTTGATGGCCTTGGAAACTTATCCCTTCTCCACGCGATGCACTACTTGAGCACTTCTTGGGACAGTTTGACGAGTGAAAAGGTTAGCAGATGTTTCCGGAAGTGCGATTTTCGGCGGCAGCTTGCTCGGAAAATACAGACTGCAGAGAAGACGATCCTGTGGCGTGCGCATTGGACATCCACGATGACATCAATGAGGAATTCTTCTCCACTGGCGCCGATGCACCATTCGCCCCGTTCGTCTCGATAGACGACAAAGTCCCAACCTGCGAGCTGCGATGTGTTGCCGAGATTGGCACAAGGGCAGTGTGGAGCAACGTGGCGAAGGAGGTGGGGGACAAGGCACTGGAAGAGAGCGGCGAGAACGAAAGCGTGCGCTGAATGGCTAACTTCGCCCTTGCTAGACTGGAATCTTTCCAAAGTATCTTTTGCACGAAAAACAATGAAAAAGCGGACAAGGGTCTACAATGTGTGCAAAAAAAAGCTTTGCTTTTCCGAGGGTGAGAGGCAGCCGCAGAAAATTAGTTTTCTTTTTTTGGGGGAAAATTAATGTTTTTTGCCCTTACACCTCTATTTGGACTTGCCAGCCTCAATTTTTGCTGGATTCAGATCGTACATTTTCCCAGATCGTACGTTTTTCTTCTTACTTTTTTTTTTTCGGAAATGCATCAACGAGGTTCTACTGTAAACGAAAAACAGTCTTGCAATAGATGTAGTGTTAGAAATATACTTTATAGCGACTTTTTGGATATAACGAACTTATTTTCGTATAAGATGCAACTTTGTTATAATGAGGTTTGAGTGTATTACATTTCGCTTATATTTGTGAACTTTTGACACATTTCTTGGAACGCCGGTATATTTTCTTGCATTAGCCCTGTGGATGGGAAATCGAACATGTGACCTCGCACTTGGGGACACAGTGCATGCGAGTGCTTAATAGTTTTTCATGTGCAGCACCGTCAGTAATCCTTCTTATTTTTTAAAATTTATTACATCTGGGTAGACAGTATGAGTGATTGATGTAGAAGGGTTGTAATTAAGCGCGTGTTCTCAATTCTTAGGCCAGCCATGGCGATGAGCAGAGCCAGGAGTCAGTTGCCAAGCAGATGCCGAAGAAGGTCAAAAAGCGAAGGAGAATCGTCAACGAAGATGGGGTAAGTGATTTGCATCCGCTGAATGATGGTAACCCTGCATTCTATATTCACGGCTAGCCACTTTAGAAGAAGCTTCATGCCTAAACAGCTCCTGTCCAAACGTGCGAGAACAGTGGCAGTTTTTTGAGCATTTCTGTACCGTACTTGGTTGAGTTTATTTGCAGAATGAGATGAGCTTTCAGCGAGGTCTTTATGTGTGTAATATTAGCAACAATAGCGTTCCTGGAGAAATTGCTGCAATCTAAAATTATTGTGTGCCTTGTTTATCATTGCTGTTACAAGATTGTTGCCAATTGCCAATTGTACATTATGTCTAGAGGTTTGATTGTTGTTGCGTGTGTATTGCATTACTCGCAAATGTAGGTGATTGGGGCGTGCTATGAAGGAAAGAAATTCAGTCTGTACTTTCGCCCGTCTCCTGTTTCCTCGGTGTCTTGTCTTAGAAATTTTTATGCGACCCGAGTGGCGGCTTAGCATGACTCAGTTCCCGGTCATGATTTCGCGATAAGGGTAATGCAAAAAAAAAAAAAGTAAAGAGAAAGAGAGATGCCGTTGTTCTTAGTTTGAGACCCGCGTTGCAGAGCCCCAGGGGGCTAAAATTCATCTGAAGTCGAGTTCACTACTGCCTGCTTCTTCGTTGTGCAGTGGCTCAGCCTATAAGGCCCCAGAACATGATTAATTTTACAAAGTTCTGTAATGTTCCAGAGAGGCAGGTATGTATGTCTCTCGAGTTGGGCACATTAAACGCGTTGAAGCAAGTACTTTGACGAGGTAAAAGTCGAATGAACATGTCAGGTACAACTTGAGGCATATTTCTCACATTGTTCACTGTAATGGTTAATTCAAATATATGGCATATCATTCTGTTCGCGTACACAGTAGAATCTCGGTGATACACATTGAAATATATGGCGTCATTGTTCAAAAGTGAGACATTCTTATCTGTTATCAAATCTATGGCAGTGAAATTAAAGACGCTAGAGATTTCACAGTGCAATTCATAAGTACAGAAGGCGCTCAGTAAGCGGAAGTCTCTTGAACGGAACTGCTGTGTAAATGGAACAAGTGCTACTTAAGAGATTAATTTAATTCTTGTATTCTGCACCCTCTGATTATCTCTCGGTAAACGGAACTACCGTTAAACGGAACATACGCATCTTCCTGGTCCCTTCAAGTCCATTTAATGAGGGTGTAATCTAAGTTATCTTTTTTTTTACTTTAGTGTTCCTTTCTGTTTCTTCCTTCATGCATGGTGAACCAGCTGAACCAAAAACACATGTTCACTAGAGATTACGAGGCTTTTGCATTTAGTAGATAAACGAATATTCTTTCATTCTTCCACACTTTCCTGCGAACGCTGTATTTCTTTCTTACGCGCCCGTGCCGTTTCTCGCAGTCGGAGGCCGGCTGGGAGGAGTACTTCGACTACATCTTCCCAACGGACGAGACGGCAAAGCCGCACCTCAGGCTACTGGAGATCGCCAAGAAGTGGAAGAAGCAAAAGCAGCAGCACGAGGAGGGTGACCGGAACGAGGGCGACGACGAGGACAACCTGGCAGACACCGGCCGACCAGAAGCGTGACAGCGCGGAGGAGGGCTCGACCGGCGTCTTGCACCTCCGCCGGTTCCAGAGTCGACACTGCGTTCACCCCACGCCAAGCGTCGCGTGCCATTCTGTCGGAACTCTGCTGCTGCTGCTGGCAGCCAGCAACGTCATCTTGTACATACTATACATTTCATCGTGGGAATCACATTACGGTCGTGTAAATATAGCAGAAACGCTCATTTCATTTATTTGGTTTGTTTTACCCCTAACGGCACAGAGCTTTACAGAAAAGAGTGGGGTACATAAAGATAACAAAGAGCGAACAAAAATAGTATCAAATAAGTACAACACATGAAGATGCAATGCTAGGCCGATACAAGTGAATTCAAATGCAGGTACATTGGGAAATACATAGCAAACAAAACATTTAAAAGTGATAAAACACACACTTTAAACGCACACGTCAAGTAAATGATTGTGCAACGTGCAACAAAACAAGCCACGATCTGAAATAGAAACGATGTCGGAGCGAAAGTGGTTCTAACCTTTGGACGTGCGTGGGACTGGAGAAAACTAGAAAGTGCTAGTAATGGGAATAGTGGTGTGTACCTTACGGTAGAGTTCTAAATGACCTGAGCAATAAGATATGGTCATAACGAACAGCTTTTGAAACTGAATGCTTCAATATCTTACGAAAGAGCATGTCCACAAGTTTCGCTTCTCGTGCGTCTTCCTGCATCATCACGCACCTGCCAGAACTTCCAAATCTCTACGGCGTCATAATCTACAATGACGACGTCATTGTACAACGTCATTTGTCATAGCAACTAAGACAAATGACGTCATTTGTGTTTGACATCCAGAGACATCCTCAGAAGTTCAGGTAAAGGGGGCATCCAGCACAAAAGCCTTTCTTTCTCTCCCGTGACCTGACAGGCAAGGTTTAGTCATAGTTTATGACGTGAAAAGTTGGCTCGTAGCCCTGAAGCGCGTCTCACACAAATATGTGGGACTTGATTGTGCTAATCAAGCTGCGCCGCTTGTTGCTAGTGCGTGAAAACAATGTTTCCCGAAATTTGGGGGGGGGGAGGTATCTCTTCCCCCCCCCCGTTCTCACATTTTTTCCGGATGCTCATGCAGTCATTCTCAACTATACTGTCATTTTTCCAGGTTTTAGTGGCACTCTTCTAGTGTGAACTCTTGTTATAAACGTTTTACGCTATACCCTTTGAAAATAGTTGAACCCCTATACAACAACACTCAAGTGCCACGAGCGGGAGAAGTTAACTGACATCGGCGACAAGGATGACAAAGATGCCGATTTTTTGGACATGTTTGAAAATTTGGATGCTTTCACAAGACCGCTACATGCCCTATAGAGTCTGTTTACGACAATTTTTGAAGTTCTGGATGCTCAAACTCGTTGAAGTCTCGACTTTTTACACAGATTGTACGTTTTAACACTAGTCACCACCGTTTTCGCACCGCAACCGGTTTTAGAAGTCAGCTTTGCCGCAGTGCTACAACATTATGCGATGAAGCATACCGCAAATTTGAAGGGCCGCTCGGGTATATAGGAGTTGTGGGTGGAAATGCAGCAGCTTGACTTTCTCGTTTTCTTTTTCTTTTTTTTTCATGGATTTTGCGTATTATATTTTGGTATAGACACTTAACAGTCAGAATTCATTTTTATAATAAATAATCCGGGCATTGCTGCAGACAGGCTATCTCACCATAAATAACATTAAAGTTGACGGTGCAGCAGCTTCTATATTGTTAAAACTGGTATCGTTATGCGTGGGATGACATCTACAATGACATGAAGATGAGTGGCGATATCTAGACAATTTGTCGTCATTTGTGTGTCAATTGACATTTGCAATTGTAGTCTTCAGTTTCCTGCTACACATTTTTTAGACAGAAATGACATTCCTCTTACGTTGAGTGAACTCACTCTGACTTACCTAAACTTGGAACAACGCCAGAGTACGACTCCGAGACTGGCGCAGCATAATTTTGGTAAGCTGAAGTTCAAGTGAGACTCCACGAGTAGAAGCTTCAAGAGTCGGCGTGAGCTACAGCGAGCGAGTCTCAATGGTCTCTGAGCAAAAATTTTAATTTCTGGACAATTCCGAGTGAGCTTCATTCATTTTGTTGGCACCCATGCATTATGTTGTTGGTATACTTCACTGCGTGACAGGGCAGCGTTGCAGTGATATTTAGAGGTGCTAAAGTTTTGTCGCTTCAGCCACATCACTGCCTACCACGTGTGACCTCGCACCTGTCTGAAAAATTGTTTTGAATTGAAGTGGGCAATTATGGTCATTATTATTTGAGTAAGTTACTGTATACCGTATTTTCTTACATAGAATCCTCACCTTCAACAACTTTCTGAAAGACTGCCTAAAAATTATCACTAATTGGCATAAAGCTTACTTCCTTGGACAGCTCTGGAGTACTGCCCTGAAGCCACCTTTGTTCCCCGTAAGTTTCATTATTTGCTTCAACTTCAGCTCGAGAATGTTACACACGTCACGACGTCTATGCATTAAGTTTTCGACAAATGATTTTAAATTTATACATGTGACTATTCTTAGCCATGTAGCAAGGAAGGCACTGCCGTTTAGGACTGTGAGATCAAGTTCTACCACCCCATGAAGGCACCGTTACCCAACTTTTACAGACCTATAAAGGGCTAACAAAGAAAGCACTTTCTACCATTATGGGTAAACTTCGACTTTAGCAAGCCTCCCAATTTTATAAGCAGTTGGAGTAAATTTAATGTTTACGTATCGTAATGCCAAGTGTATGCGGCTGTCCGAGCCATAGGGCTGAGTTCATTTGCAGTCTGTTTTATAGCAGAGTGAGCATGTTACGGCGCATTCAGTTTGATACGAAGTTTCCATGCATTATTTGATTTAACGAGGAAAACCTAGAATCTACCAGGTGTTCATCAACATACATGCTAGGTTTTGCCATTCTGTCAAGGTTAGTTTTCGTATTGATTTTTTCTTTTTTATGAGGAGCGACCACGTCTGGCCTGTAGTACTCGGTCATTTTAGTTTGGACAAGCTTTCTTTTTTTGGAAATATTCAGATGAAACAGTCATATTGCACAACTCTATTTGGCAAACGTCTATCTGTCCCACCCTTATGTCAACGGCACAAGTGCAGCACTTGGTATTGTTACGGTACCAAGTTGTGGATTTGCATGCAGTTTGCTTCACAATGCCGGTATAAGCAGTTTATTTTTTTTCAAGACGTCAGTGTTGCAAATTAACTTTGTTTCCCCGACTCTTTTAAATGCAATAGATACATCTGATCCAGTGGCCTTTCTCCGAGTGTTTCTGCACATTTCACATGTACTTATGTGGACTGGAGAGTGTAGTTGTTCTGTCTTGAAACTACTTATGTTGAACTTGTGGTATGTTGAACTTTCGTGAGCAAAACCCTAACTTCGCATTTACTTCCCAACAAACATACCAATGTATCATAACTTTATCTCAAGTTGGTTTGAAACATACGTTCCTGTTTTACTGCATACAATATTCATTTCTGGTTATTGTGTCATGTTAACTGTTTCGGAATGAGTATTGCTCGTAATAATACAAAAACTATTTAATATTTTGAAAACTACATGTTCTATTAGAGCAATAACTGCCAGTTTAAAATCCCCTCATAAAAGTACATCAGCTACGACTGATAAAAATCTGCTCAGGAACAACAACAACAACAAAAACTTATCTGAAGCATGTCTCCACTTAAGCAGCTGAATGTGCCATGGGTGGCATGTACTGCAGCTGCTATTCTCTTTGCTGCACAGTACATGGCTCACAACATTTCAATTCTGCAAGCCTTCTTGATTTTTTTTTTTATTTTGCTAGTGACCTTACAGCGCATCAGACAAAATGAAAGCGCACAAATTCCTTGCATACTTCAACACAACTTGACACGTGAAAGAAACCAGGATGCAATGGGATTCACAATCTAATGACGGGATTGAAAATTCATACAGATGCCTTCATTCTGCACACACTCCTATGACAATTGAAAATTGTTAATATTTGCAAGTTACAGCCCGTTTGATCAAGTACAAATGTCTAAAAATGAGCAGGAAATAGGTTATATTTTGCGAAGCAAGCACGCTACGCACATTATAAGCTGAAATCAGAAGGGACAGTGAACAGTAGTTTGTATCTATCTCGCAAATTATCATGAAGCTGTGGATAATTTCACAGGTGTAACACAAAGTTCATAAATAAGCACACCTATATAGAGAGGAAAAGGCATATTATTCGTACAAAATATTGACCTAAAAGATACAAATGGAAAAAAATTTCGCATTAGCTATCGGGGAGTACCACATCATCTTGGAGCAATCATGACAAACTTGCAGGGCTATTACTTGCCTAACTTCTTAACAGCATATAAATAGCACCTAAGGTAGTGGCACATGTGGTTGATAGTCAAGGGACAAGAGGTACACCACAGCATACGGCCTCAAGATTTCAAACTGCACACGCCATTCAAAATCATGGAGGCAAGTTTTGCTGTAAACACTGGGCTCCGTGTCGAATTCAGCGAGTACTCGTAATCTCATGCTCTGGAGTGTTGGAATCGAAAATTTCAACATTTTCTTTTTTACAATATTTTCAAAATACCCTGCTTGCACTTCAAATGTAGCACCTTGCACATATCTAAAACTGAGATTTTCACGTAGTATTAAAATTTTATTGAAGTTCGTTTCACCCAAATTTGATGTCAGTGCTTTTTAAAAATGTTTGTCGAAATCGCTGGTGGTGTTGTCAAACAAGGCGAGCACAGGAATTCAGCCAATCGTGTAGAGTGACTACCAGTTAGGAAATTCCTGTCCACTTTTGTTTTAGTGCTTCATTTCGTATGAAATGTGGTAAATTTTAGAATGAGATTTAAGGTTTTACATAGAATGTTTGTGATGAAGGCAAAAGTGGTTCTTGGTACTTTCACGTTCAAATTTATGTAACAATGCTCCCATTAATACCCATACCCAGTCTATGAGTTGCAATTTTCACTGTTGCGTTTTTTTAATGGCTAACAAAGTTCCCGAACTAGCTTTGGGAATAACACTGAGACAGAACAACTTTCCGAACCACGTAAATCTTACCCAGCAACAAAGGGAAGCAGATACGGCGCAATAATGCAAAATAACAGGTCTTAAGTACTGTCTAAACAGTAGGATGGGATCTAATTACAAAGCAATAGTAAGCGATCTCTTCATGCATCAAAATGTAATGGCCGGAGGCACATAGAAAGCAATACGACAGGATTTACACCGTAACATAGGTCCGTTCTTGCATTTCCCTTGGAATGTGGTTCGATGCCCTCAGTTTTCTCGAGACCCCGTATTTGCATTTCTGTTGCGGTCTCATTGAAGAGAAAATCCTGTCGTCTTACTTTATTCCACAAATACTAACTCAGTCCACGTCTTCGGGACGTACAGGGTGCGCTAAGGGAATCACCGACTTCTTGAGGATGTCTCTCGAAAGTGCCTTGCGCATGTCTGCAAAAAGAAGCAGCACAAAAGTGCACAAAAAGCAACTCATTAGCACCCATTTCGAATGTTCGATATTCCGTAATTATTTTTTTACAGCGAGAGCTGTTATGAGATCCATAACTCAGGTCACGCGCAGCTTGTTCGCCGCCGCCGGTGTCCGTAACCGCATCGCGCGAAATGAGAAAAAAAAAAACCTAGTACCAATGACACAACGGAGCTCAAACCCGGATCCGCTGGGTGCCAGCCTAATATTCTACCACTGAGCCACGCCAGTGCTTGCGACTTGTTGACAAACTTGCCTTAGGCAAGCTTGATGTTGGGAATAGCAATCGTGTTAATACGAATTAAAGCATTTTAAAACAGCGAAAGAACAACCAGTTGTCACACAATGCAAATAGCATAACGAGTGGGTCGTACAATGCTCCAACCCATTACAAAAGCTTGTTCTTGTTCCCGTATTAACTGTGGTGCATACCACTTCAGCCGAAATTTCTCCTCGTCGTCAGGCACTGCATGAACAATTCGCACAAAATTCCTTGCAGCGCTCGTGTCTTTCGTGTCCTTCTTGTCTCTGTGTCGTCGTTTTGTTCTCGCGCTATAACTATCGTAATGCCATACCAACTAGCCCAAGCTGCCACACTTCTAAGTTCCTTGCAAGTATTTAGCGAACACCACGCTTCTCCTAAGAATGACGAAAAATAGCACAGCGAATGCAGGCCTACTACTCAAAAAATTTTATTATTAATGCCCAAGTGGGTATCAAGCAAGTGTACTTGCAGTAGTTACCCTATGAGTTTTGAAAGGTTCTGAAAGGCCGCTCTTCTAGCTTTCACTGTGACTGTGCTGCACCTTCCGCGCAGGCCTGGTGTTTTTGTTTTTTTAAGAGAAGTTTGTTGTGAGCTGCCGATTTCGGTGATGCAACGACGTACGCCAAGAACTTGCCTGACATCTGTTTTTCTTTTTTTTTATTATTGCATTGCGCAGTGCTCCCGTCTGTTGCCTCGGACTTTCATCCGCACTGCTTATCAGTGCAAGACAGGCAGCAACAATGGTCATCCGCAACCGTGAAGCATGGCAAAGTGTAGTGACAAGAGAACTCGGTAAAATATCAGATTGCCATATTAGAAATGGATAATCGTCAACAAGCCTATGATCGAGGACCGTCAATAATAAAAAAACTGCGTAAGCAATATGCGAGTGGCTTGCACATCTCCGAGGGCCGCGTTTTTGTTTGCTGTCGGCATTGGGTTTCTCGTGTACGGCACTACCACTGAAATTTGCGATTTGTAACGAGCTTCACTTAAAGATTAACGGATACGAGGCTTTCACAGGAGTACAAGAACTCTCAATGATACCTAACCTAGTAGGCTGAAAATGCAAGAATCAGGGAAAGCCAAACAAAGCAAGCATTCATAACCCAAATGAAAGGTGACAGCAGAGCAAAAAAAATAATTTGTTACATTTTAGTAGTTCTATCAAGTTACTGCAGTTAAGAACATCACTAAATGCTCTTCATAAATGTGCCAATTGATGTAGGTGAGAGAGCAATGAAGAGTGCAGTGTGAGCTGCACTCTTCAATGACTCTGAGAATACAAAAACAAAAAGTCACAGCTTTGCCGCTAAGATCCGAAGCAACAAATCCAAAGGTCACGCGCAGAATGGAAAGTGGATTGAAATGTGCCTCACGTTTCTCGCGCACAAATGACGCAGGAAATGTACTCACAGGTACACAGATAAACGCAAATAAACGTCTCAGTTGTTACTTCGCTCTGTCTGTCTGCAACGATTGCAGAGACCTTTGCCCGCCCCGTAACTACAACAGAATCGTTCCAGTCAAGCCCAATGCCAGCCAGGACATATAATCCTCTCCACCAGGATATAAGGCCGAGTGAGAGATCGTCACTCCCCTTCGTTTCCACGGGCCAAAGTATGGGTGAGACATGAGAGCAGGTGCGCGCCTCGTGTTATCTTGCTGATAACGCTGAAAACACGAGTCGTCCACGTCCCCCCCCCCCCCCCCCGAGATGCCCACTAACAGCGGTAAGTGGTAGATATGAATAGCTTGAATGAGGTACCCCTTGGTGGCTCAGTGATTAACGCGTCATATTGATGACACGGAAGTCCCACGTTCGATTTCGTGCGCCAGAGTCTTATGCTGGCGCCGACATCGGCGGCGAAATCCAGCTGAGAATGTCCATTTAATTGCTATTGCAATAAAAGTCAGTCTGGCTGCAGAAAGATGAATAAACATTTAATGGCAGTCTTTGGCATGCTTAAGTATAGCAAAACCTCACTGACACTTTTTTAAAAAAATGGCAAGAATGTACCATCTCAGCAAGCGTACCATAGAAATTCACTAACATTGCGCACGTTCGCTTGCTATGATATTGCGAACATTGACACTGGAAATTTTGCGAACGCATCAATGACTTTCTGCTGCATATCGAGTCTGCAATTTGCATCATGCAAACAAGCTCAAAACAAAACACTCTCTATAACACCAGCATTGTTAGCACACTCATGACCACATTTACCGAAAGCGTCTTCGTCGGGGTCACCGAAGTAATACTCCAGAACTCTCCTGTAGACGCTGTACCCCAGTCGCTTGTACATGTCGACAGCAACCTTGTTGGACACTCGAACGAATAAATCTACAAAGTACGCCTGCTTCCTGAAACAAAGTGCAGGTGCGCTTAATGAGTGGGCTTCAGTTGAAACAGTTTCGCTTGACACTTGTGGGCGAGGCCATCAAGATCTGCATAAGAGGACTAGCACTGAATCGTTCCGCACATTTACTGCAATATAAATGCTTTCAGATCAAACATAATATTGACCTTTAATTCACCAGTCGGCTGCGCAACATAGCTCGGAAACTAACTGAACACGGAATGCAAAGAGCATGAAGTCGCGACACTTTGTACTACAGTTATTTTACACCCTTAGCATAAGTGTAGGTAAGCAGAGATGATGAGGTGTACGAAAAACTTCTCTGATGACCATTCACGGCAAATATTTAGCATAACTATCGCCCTGACCCTTAACAGGTTAACACGATTGGGAGCGGTGGTCAAGCGGCTCACTTTTCAGAGATATACTCCAGACCCGACATTAGCATGGCCGCAACTCCCAGCTTCCGGTACTCGGGTGCAACGGTGAGAGCCGTCACGTGGCCGTGCCAGTTCTCCTGGACGCCCTCTGCCTTGCCCATGACTGCAGGGAAAACGAGACGGACGCGTCCAGTTATGACGAGAGGGTGAGCGATGCCATCTATGTAGTTAAGAAATGGACACATATTGAAGAGGGACCTTACTGTAGCCCATGATGTCGCCGCTTGGAGACTCGGCGACCTGGAAGTATTCCGGCCAGTGAGCCAGGTACTGGAGGTAGAACGACAACCCGTACTGCAAAGCAGCTAAGGTAAAGTGCAGCACCTGATGGCATCAAGAGAGCAAGTTGGTTTTGATTTGTCACACTTAGCGTTAACAGTGATACTATTCAGCAGTAACTGCCGCCTGCATAGCGGTTATGCGGACTTCAAGCAGGTCCTGCCTGGTCGTGCCTGTACCTATCACATCCTTGCTGCCCGTCAGGTTTGACCTGATGGTTTCCGAGTGTGCTAAGCTCATAGATTGGCAAACTCGCTCATAAACAGGGGCAGAAATTTGGGGGGGTGGTACCTTTTTGATCTGAAGGATGGGCTTAGGAAAAGATATGGTGGTTTTGCACTATGTATGGTGTGGCGAAAAAAATTTTAGAGTGGGAGGGGGGGGCACAGGCCGCTGTGTCACCACCTGGCCACACCACTGTCCATGAGTCAACTTGCCGAGACTGAGCTATGAGTATGAGCGAGTAGCACTTCGCAATGAGTATGGCTGAGATATATATTTAGTGGATTCGGCTGAGGAAACTTTAAGTGAGCTTGAGTGAGCCCTATGCACAAAACATATTCCTTGAGTGAGCTCAACTTCTTTTGCTCACCTTATGGCCCAGCTTGGTGACATTGAGTTTACTTGCGTCCACTGTCGACATAATACAGTTGTTTCATCCAGTGCCGTGGTGTGTTTCCCTTCCTTTGTCCATATCAACAAGTTGTGCTGTTACCCTAACAAGAATGGCATCAAACTTTGGTCAATAATGGTGGGCTTTAAAGGGTTTTGCTCTATCTGGATGAGTTACAGGGCTGTCTCACAAACTCTTTTTTTTTTTTGTCTTTAGCTCGCTTGAGATAATGCAACCTGAATACTCGGTGGGTAAAGTACAGCTATATATCAGTTCGTTAATATGCTATCCTCAGATCCTGCTGCTCCAAGCAGTGACCCCATAATGCATCTCGGCATGCTAACATGGTGCATGCAGAGAGGAAACAGGAGAAGGTATATTATGTCGTGCCAGGAAACGAAAACACATTGGAGAATGCTGTGTCCATGTGTTTGTGCAACTTTCTGATGTTCTTATATGTATGTGCTGCAATGGTATTCCAAGATGCAGTAACAACAGGTTCACATGGCTGCATCATGTCATCCTGCCAAATACAAACTTCAATCATAATTGGGGTAGACAAATACAGTCCTTTTTTTAGAGCGCAACCAACGCATAAACCAAGAGTGAGCAACAATTCTGTGATCGGAGACGCAGCTCGTAAAGTTTTAATCTGCTGCTAAGAATGGCGACAGAGCAGAAACAAAAGTTAACATTAACGCGTGCTATTCTAGCAGAAAGCGTCTGTGCGAGAACAGTAGGGCTTCCACAATGCCCAGAAAAGATTTGATGAAAATCGAAACTGCCCACACGAGGAATCGGTACGACGCTTAATCGAAGTTTGGCGTGCTTCGAAGGCTGCTTTGTGTAGGCAAGGTTAGAGGTTATTTACAACGAACGTTTTGATCCCGAAAATTTCGCGCTCCGTGAGGTCGTACCAAGCTAAATGAAGATCGCAAGGGCCCGTGTGACATAGGTGAGATGAAGCGTCCTCTTTGCTATTTTGTGTTAATTGCTGCCGTTACGAATGATGCATCGTTAATTCCGTGCCTTTAAACTCGCCGACTAGTCGCTACTGTCCAACCTGGATTCTACATGAAATGCCCACAAAGGCCGAATGGCTGTACTTGTGCACGATTCGTTTCGAAGCAAGCAGCAAATCCTCGAAACGCTGGGTCGGGCGATCAGCGTTCCGCAAGCGTGGTGTACATCTTCTCTGTACGCAACGGCCGTGGCTTTTTGTGGTCCAGTTAAAGTAACCAAGTCACCAAACAAACAAAAGCGTGATGCTCGTTGGATGTTTGTCCCATGCCCTGTAAAACTTTACGTAGAAATCAGGCAGCGTGAACAGCGTAAAGGATACGGTTTCGGTGAGAGGGTCCAAGTTGCTGAAAAGCAACAGATTGGAACGCATCAGTACAACTCTTGCGAGTCGAAAGAATTCACAAAAACGATAGTTATACCGCGAGAACAAAACGACGACACAGAGACAAGAAGGACACGAAAGACTTCGTCTTTCGTGTCCTTCTTGTCTCTGTGTCGTCGTTTTGTTCTCGCGCTATAACTATTGTCTCTGTGTCGTCGTTTTGTTCTCGCCAACAAGCCCAAACTGCCACACTTCTAAGTCACAAAAACGGTCGAGCGCCGCAACTTACACATTGTTGAACAAGAAGAGATCGTCGCACGTAAACAGTCGTATGGTCGTCATGTCTCCACGTGCTCTTTTTCTTCCAAACGCAACGCACGATCACCGACCGCTTCAGGCCGCAAATCAAGCGGGGTAGAGAACACCGGGAGAAACTGAAAATACCGGAAGTCATAATAGGTGGCAAGCTACTGTGCTGTTCTCAAGCGGCCATCGCCGTAAAAATTTGATTATATCAGTCATTTGTTTGAGTTTCTACACTAACCCTCTTTAAACTATTCACTAGCGACGTCTTTAGAAACTGTTTTCAACCAAACCAACAATGTATGGCCTTTGAGATTTTTAATTTTTTACAATCCTGAAGGCTTTGTAAAAAATGTATCAATTTTTAAATATAAAGTTAAAAGCAATAAAACTTATTTTTGTCTATAAGTGATGGTAAAAATTGTTTACTTTTAGCTTTAAAAGTTGTTTTTTTACCTTTAGGTACAAGTTTTGAACAGTGTAGAGAGAGCCGCCAAGTACCATTTGAACCTTGTAAAAGCACGGCCTTTGAGATTAATACAAATTACTTTTAGAGTTTGCATATCTACTTGTGTGACGGGGCGTCAACGTTGACGCGTCGCTGGTCGCCATACCGCTAATCAAACCTTATTTAACTACTCTGGTAGTGAACGTAGTTACAGCAGTAGTGAAAACACGTCACACTCATCACGCTTCAAATCAGAGTTATAGCAGCTATGATGGGTGAAATATTTAAATGACTGGTTACCGTGACGGATGAACTCAGATGTGAACACGTCTGAACACTAATAAAGCTTAGATATGTAAAGGGTACGTCAATGTTCTCTGCACTGGAATCACTTTCGCTGATTCATATGCTGGGAAACATGGCCTCTGAAATTAATGAGGGTGGCGATTTGGGCTTGTTGGTATGGTTGCATGATGATGGATGGTAGCGCAGACAACGAACACGGACAAGAGAAGAGAAGAGGTGTTGTGTCTATGTGCCTTCTCTTGTCCGTGTTCGTTGTCTGCGCTACCATCCATCATCATGCAACTCTGAAATTAGTTTTTGTAAGCTGTGATCGCTATTAAGAAAACGCAAAGGATGCAGCAAAGCCAACTACTTTTCACTGTCAATAGTGAGCAGGGTCTATAAACACTAAAAGAGCAGCATTTGTTTGCAAAAAAAAAAAACAAAAACAGGATTCACTTTGTGTATATTGTGCAAGGGGGCGCGTCGAACGTCTTACGTGTATTTGAGTTGTAGTTTAAGAACGTTTTAGTAGGTACACTTCAACCTAAAATCTTATCTCCAAGTTGTTTTGTTTGATTATCTAAATTTTTAAACTACCGATTAACTCGTCACTTTTCAACAACAAGCTCAACCTAATCTCAATTTAATTTACCAAAAAAGTGTAAATTATTGTAAACGTTTTGATAACAGATGGCGCTACAACTTGTAAAATGACTTCACTGCAGTGATTTTGGATGCAGTGGTTTTTGCTTGAAGTTCCGCGACTCATGTTTTATTAATGGTTTCAGTTTCTCGTTAGAGAGAAAGAGATTCTCCGTCACAGTGCGCTCAGCTGGTAGGTGTTCTGTGGTTCGCTCGACTGCGAGGCCGCAGCCGACTGAGCGTGTGCGAAGTGCGCGGTGTTTTAACAGCAGCTGTGTGTAGTGTTCGGGTGCGCGCTACTGCTTGCAAGACAGGATATATCGGCGTTCCGTACTTGTTGAAATACGCTATCCCGGGTTCGCCGAGCTCCCGTGCCACTTTTGGATACGGAAGTTTGCGGATTAAGGCCTCTCCGCCGTAACAACGTTCGTGCGTGCGTGTTTGTGTGTGTTCGCGGCTCACCAGTGGATTATCCCTAACAGCCTGATCGCCTTCGCTTTGGAATCTACCTAGCTTCGCTTTGTAGTGCCTGGAAGTGCGCGTTAAAAGGTAAGTACGAAAAGCTCCGTTCCTCGACTCTGCTTCTTTGCTCAAGAATATGTTTGTTTGTTTGTTTTTTGCTCACTGGTCCCATTTTGCAGCTCTGAGTTTGTCGCGCTTGCCTGTTAGCGCGTGAAAAAAAAATCCTCGCGCTTGTCGGCCTTCCAAGCGCATGTCGCTCGTCTTCAATCAATCAATCAATCAGGCAGGCAGTCACTCAACATATCATTGTTTGCTAGTGGTTCAGAATGTTAGTTAACAATCACAGGAGGGGCCTCCTGTATCTTGGTACACTGAAAAAGGAAACAAAAATTCAGAATTTCATATATATAATTATGAATCATAAGATGTTTACGACTGAACGCAGCAGTTATGCAATGTATAAAAATGTTTTTTCTTTCTTTAGCACGCGTCTGAATACATAGATATTTGTAGAATAAAATGGACATATTCTTATTTATTTCCCAATGAATACGTTTTCGGCTGTAGAGGGTTATTGGGGTCTGAAAATTTGGAAAAAAAAAATGTACGTGTGAAGGCCAAGTAAAACAAAAATTCGGCAATAGAAATATTTGCGGTTAAAGACCTTAAACACAACACACAGATGCTGCAGATTCGTTCTATAACACGCTAAACTAGACTGATATGAGACAAAACGGCTTGCAATGCTTTTTTTTTTAATTTTGTGCTGGACTGCTTTCACGCTTGTCAATTCAAAACATCACAAATGACGTTACATGTGTAACTCGGAACTAATTTGAAATCGCTGAAGCGTGCGTTGTCGCGTCATTCCGGCATATTTCTATAATGGCATAGATAACAGATCGAAATAGGGAGTCGATCATATGGTGTTGCAACCAGCGTTTGCCCTGAACGCGTTCCATCAGTTGCACGCGAGTCGAAGCTTTTTCTCTTTTTTTTTTTCATAATTCCGAGTTGCCGGTTGCTCTCTTGGCTGCAGTCGGTGATGATCGATTGTGAAACGGTGTTTCGACAGCTCTTCCCGGGGCAAACGTGCGTGTGCTTTTCGCGATGACTGTAATGGGAAACGTTGTCATCGAATGAGAGAGAGGGGTGAACAGGCAGAGCGACCGAAGGAGAGAGAGTAGCGGCTCCAGTGCACCTCCTGCTTGCCGTGGTGCTCGCCCATCGCTCAGTAGTTGCGACACGACGCACAAAATTCTTATTGTGTTATTGCCAATCATCTTCCTTTCCGCTTCTTTATTTATTTTTATTTCTTTGCGCTAGATTGTACGTTAGCGAATACCGAAGAATATATATATATATTGAGAGCAATCTGATTTACTGGTAGTAGCTAAACTATGCGCACAAACATGCGAAGCAGCGGGAAGGTAAAAAAAAAACGTGCTTGATCCGTTTTTATTGGGTATTGGTATGACGCGAAAGTGAAACGTGACCTCGTAGAGGTAGTTGCGCATTCAGTGTGCATTGTTTCGCCACAACTTCGACGGAATGAATGCTGCAATAACAAATTGCAGTGTCACGCGAAGAACGGCAAGCAGCTCGAGACTTGCAGCGCGCACCTCAAACAGAAAGCGCGCACAAAATGAGCAAACACAGGACGAGCGCAGACAAGCAACAGAAAGAAAGGCGCACATAATGAACGCACGGGTATACACAGGACGAGTGCGCACAACGGTCACAATTCTTACTTCAGCTTCGTGTGTGGGCAGCGCGCTCCTTTCGTAAAAGCGGCCGCAGCAGCGAGCGAAGTGACGCCCGTTCGTGCTCTTTTTAACTACTTCAAAGCAAACTTGTGGTGGAAGCACTGGAGGCATAAATTGCCCTAATCCCGTGATATGCGCGCGTGTGAGCCACCGTGCTAGACAACATCTATGCGCACTTTGACGACCACGCCATGTGGAGGCGCGCCTCGCTCAACGTGCGCCCGTCGTGTCCACGCTACTGATGACGAAAACGCGCTGAAGTTTCCAAGCTCTGAGGACATCCAGTGGTACATGGTTTATGTAAATGGCTCGCCGTTAACGTGTTAGGGAAGGATCGCTCTGTGGCTTAGTGGTTATCTTCGCGCGCTGAGGAGGTCGCTGGTTCGACGCCCCGCTGCTGAACTTTTCCTATTCGTTGTTTTCTTTGCAACCTGTTAGTAAACATTTTTTACAACATGTCACGGGGCCGTGGTGGACCCTGGCATAAAACACTTTCGTGTTGAAAAAAAAAAATGGCCCCGTATCTGCATGTTTCACTGCAAATGTCGTCGAAACACTTGCGCCTGAAGAGAGTGAACAAAACGTTTATTTGATGTTCTACGCGACAAAATCGGTGAATTGTATTCTGGAGGCAATGCGTTAGAGTGCCTCGGACCATCCAGCGGTGGCGACCGAGCGCGTCGAGGCACGTGAGACACGAGCGCTATCTGGCCGTTATCTTCGAAAACGAAGGATGATGTGCACGCCTGTCTCGGAGGTGATAAGGCGTTGAACGCAAAGCGACGGGTAGGCGCCACCACCGTGTCGTCTTTGCAAAGCGTTGGAAGCGCCTTTTTGTTCATAGCGTTGCATTGTCAGCGCAGCGTGATGAACTGTGTGTTCTTTAGAATTACTTATGTGTGCCTTCTCGAGTAAAAGAGACACACCACAAAATATTGACGTATTACTTTTTTTTATTTACAGTCACACAAGTATGAACTCTGAAACTTGTGGTGGGCGCTGCGGATGGGGTTGGATTTTGACCGTTCTGGGTATCGTTTCGGTGCACAAACAGACAAATGTGCAGACAGACAGACCCAAATTTTTGCGTTGAAGTACACCGTCTTAAAAAAAAAAACGGAAAAATCTTGATGTCCATCTACTATGTAAAGGGAGAGCTGTATGTGGGCTTGGAGGGCGAACGTTGTTGGTTGTTGATGTTCATAATTGAAAATTTTGGTTGTTGATGTGTTTGATAATTACCTCTTTATTAATTGGCCCGGAGGTCGTGGGTTCCAGAATGGAACAGAGCCCGAGAATGGAACACAACGTACGTGGGCTACCCTTAAAACGGCCGGATTGCGAGTGACATAACGTGCCTATGCAGTGCGTTATGTCACTGAGAAACAACTGTATCATCGCATAGGCGTCGGTAAGATTTGTCTCTCACTGCTGACACGTATCATCATAAGGGGGGGGAGGTGTCGTTTTTGCGTAATTATTGGTGTAGTTCAAAATGTGGCGCTAAATGCAGCGGCAGTGAAACCTGAAGG